TCCCCCCCCCCCCCCCCCCTCTCTCTTTGGTCATTTGTTCAAATCTTAATCTACTCACAATTCATTAGTGTTTGCTCTGCAATGAACCAATCTTCCCTATTACTTACCTGACCCGTTTACGGCTTTGAAATGCAGGATTTAGCTGTGATGGAAAGCTTGCAGTTGGTTCTAGAAAATGTTGTCAGCGTAGTTTTTGATGGTTTAAATGAATTTGGCAATAGTAGCCATGAAGTCCACCATATATTATGTCAAATATTTGAAGGTTTGATCATTTTTATTTCATTGATTTCTATCTACATGTATTTAAAAGCATTTATCTAGGGTCTCACCTGAAAATTCTTGTTACTATCAACTGAAGGCCTGCTTCAACGTCTTATTTCTTTGAAATGGACTGAACCGGCACTTGTAGAAGTTCTTGGTCACTATTTAGATGCATTGGGTCCAATTCTGAGGTACCGGCCTGAAACCGTTGGCAGTGTAATCAATAAACTCTTTGAGCTTTTGACCTCTCTGCCTTTTATGGTTAAGGTTGTCATTTTTCATCCTTTGAAGTATTGGATATGGTAAAGATATACACCTTATGCATGCTTAACATCCAACTGATTTTTTTTTTTTAGGATCCTTCAACTAGTACTGCTCGGCATGCGAGATTGCAGATATGTACATCTTTCATTCGAATTGCAAAGACTGCCAATGAAAGCATTCTGCCTCACATGAGGGTAATGGCATTTTCTCGTTACTTGGAACTCCATACGTACTGGTTGAAGAGTATGGATTAATTGCATTTTCATTTGTATTAGAATAACGAAAAAGTTGTCTATGTTGAAGCACATTCTAATGCAGTGGTGTAAAATCATCACTTGGTAAGTAAAGTTTTACAGGAAATTTGAAAGTTGAAGTACATTGAAATCCATCTTAGCTACCATGTTAAAATACCTTACAGAGTAGGAGAGGGCAATCAAATAATAATGTTGATTTTAACCACTCCAAAACTTAACGACATGGATGTGGAGAAGGATGGCGAAGGCAAAGTTCAACTTAAGAAAGTACAGTTGTGGAGTTTCCTGGTGATGAATAAACTACGAATCTTGCGTACTAAACATCAAGGAGTAGAATTAATGCGTTATGGGTGCAACTTCAATTTATTTGAAAGTGATTAAATGTTTAGTAATGCATAATAGTATTCTACCTTAATTAAGACCTCCATTATGTATCAAGTTTAGGTAAAGGACGACAAACAAGTAATTGGAAGTTTGTCCACTTATAAAAAGGTGTTCTTCATGATTTTGCCACAACTATAAATATGTATGCAAAAGTCAGTTAATTTGTATATTAAAATTTATATTATTTCTCTTCACAAAGGATACATCAAGGCATTGTCCAATACAAAACTTCAGAAAGATGTATTTATGTCAATAAAAGTAGACAGAGAAGGATACACACATGACACAACTGCAGTGGAAGAAAGAAAAGACCCAATGAAGAGATATATTATCAAAGGAAAAGCTAATAGAAAAGTATATTAAGTGTCTAGACGGAAATCAGGCAAAGAAATAAAATCAGTGAAAGACTTGTTTATAGCCTGGTGGTACACCTTGTGATTTAGCTGTTTCTATGAATACAGTATGTGTATCTGGCATCAATCAACTTTGGTGGAGGCAGTTATTCCTATATCAACTGCTTACTTCACAAGACTTGGCCAATGTCAGTAACTGATCGTTAGTTACAATTTACTCGTTCAAAAAGAAAGATAGGCTGTCATCCGTTGTCTTCATGTTTCGGCAATACGCCTCAGCCCCTTTTCCTTTCTTCACTGGAGAAATACAATTTTCTTTGATATTGATGTCCCAATGTTTCAGTAAACCTGTTGATTTATGAAGTGTTCTTATTGTACTTCCTATAAATTGATTTTAAGCTCATTGAATATTCAGTTTCTGCTTGTACAAGTCAGGGAAACTGTTTCAATCTAGAAATACTTCTCTATTGTAATATAATTGTGAATTAAACGAGTTTGGATAGTTAGAGCGCACTAAAAAACTTCAATTTGTTCGCTCATTTTAGTGGTACTATCTCACAGGGGATTGCTGAGAAAATGACATATTTGCAAAAGGAGGGCCTTTTGCTTCGGGCAGAGCATAACCTTCTAGCTGAAGCGTGTCTTATTATGGCATCTGTTGCTGGGTAATTTCTTTATGAAAGAGATCATTTGTATCTCTCTTAGAGTTTGTGACATATGTTTACTTTTGCAAAATTCAAAACTGGTGCAGGGTTCAACAGCAACAGGAAGTTTTGGTCTGGTTGCTTGAACCTTTGCACAGGCAATGGATGCAGCCAGACTGGCAAGAAGCATACTTGTCTAACCCAACCGCCTTAGTTCGCCTGTGTACTGAGACTCAATTTATGTGGTCTATATTCCACACTGTCACATTCTTTGAGAAGGCACTAAAGAGGAGTGGTTTTAGAAAAGGCAGTATAAGTTCACAAAGTGTTCCAATAAAAAATTCTCCTGCTACACATCCAATGGCTTCCCATCTTTCGTGGATGCTGCCACCTCTCCTTAGAGTAAATATGCTACTCAAAAAACATTCTATTTCATTTTTCTTTATTATCTATGTTAAAAGATAGCATCGAGCTGACTCTCCTATTCTCTATGTTAACATATAGTTATTGCATGTCTTTTATAATCAGCTACTTCGTGCAATACATTCTCTTTGGTCTCCAACTGTGATTCAAGCCCTCCCTGGGGAAATAAAAGCTGCAATGATTATGAGTGATGTTGAAAGAACCAGTTTTACTGGGGAAGGAACCCTTAAACAGCCCAAGGGTGCATTAGCTTTCACTGATGGATCTCGTTTTAATATCAGTATGGAAGGGTATTCGGAGCCAGCTGAAACTGACCTACGGAATTGGTTGAAAGGAATAAGAGATAGTGGGTATGAATGTTCTTCCGATGTCAACATAGCGTGCTGGATATTATAGGTTTTGTTGAAATTTCTATCCTGCTTTTTCCCTGATCTAGCATTTCATTGCCTTCATTCTTCACGTGCTTAGATACTTAGATACTGCACAACATGGAGATTATTTATTTTCAGAAGCTGAAATTAATATCGAATTTTTTGAGGGAATAGTTTCTTGCATGTACCACCTTTTTTTTCCCCTTCTCTTCAATCTAATTACAAATTATTAATGGATAATATTTGGTGCAGAGATGCTTTTTTAGAGCCATTGACTCCTGATCTTGCAGAACTAATGGTTATGATATCCCTTGATGTACAACATGTTTGCATTTGTTTTCTTGAACGTCTAACAACTGATCTTCATCTTTCAGATCGTGTGATATGTAATACTAATTTCCATGCACGAAAGAAAGTTTTCTGTCAACATTTAACACTAAGTTGTTCTTCAAATGTTCTCCTTCCTTCTATTTCTCTCCAACTTTATCACTGCAGTCATTTTTGCATTAGATGACTATTTTTGCGAAAATGACCTTGGCAGTAGACTATGCTTTCAGCTTTTAAGTTGTTTATTTCTCAAATGGTCGTTTTCTTGCCGGCATGTAGACATAATTGGAAAAGTTGTCCCAAATGAAGTTTTATGAACCATGGGCGATGTTTATTTTACTCTAATACACTTTTTCTTGCTCCAGATATAGTGTTTTAGGTTTATCAGCAACCATTAGCGATTCATTTTTCGGATGCATAGACTCTCATTCTGTTAGTTCAGCACTGATGGAAAATATACAATACATGGAGTTCAGGCATATAAAGCAGCTTGTTCACTTGGTGCTGATTCCCTTAGTTAAATCCTGTCCTCCAAATGAAAGGGAGATGTGGCTGCAAAACCTCCTGCATCCATTACTTATCCATGCTCAGCAGGCTCTTAGCTGTTCATGGTCTAGTCTTTTACGAGATGGAAAAGCGACGGTTCCAGATCTCCATAGGATAGATGATGGATCAAACTTAAGTGTGGAATTAATGGAGGAGAAGCTTCTTCGGGATTTGACTCGCGAGATTTGTTCTCTCCTTGCTGTTCTTGCTTCTCCCGGACTTAATGCAGGGCTTCCTTCATTAGAGCATGCTGGCCAAATCAGCCGCGGGGATGTTTCTTCTCTCAAAGGCTTGGATACCTTTACCTCAAGCTCTGTGGTTGGGTATGGCTATTGCATATTGTTCCTTGGAGGTGTATTTTTATGTCTTTGCTCTGTACTGTTTAAGATCTTTTCAATTGTAATTTGTTTGCAGATTTACATTGAAGAACAAAAGACTTGCGCTTCCAGCCCTGCAGATATGTTTGGAATCATTCAGTTGGCCACATGGTGAAGCTGTGACGAAAGTTTCTTCTTTCTGTGGACTAGTAATTCTCCTTGCAATTTCTACTAATGATGTCGAGCTTAGAGAATTTGTATGTAAGGACCTGTTTTCTGCAATCATCCAAGGTTTGACACTTGAGTCAAATGCTATAATAAGTGCTGAATTAGTTGGTCTCTGTCGGGAAATATTCGTCTACCTGTCTGATAGAGACCCAAAGCCCAGGGAGGTTGGTGAAACCAACCCTTATTTAATTTGCTCTATCTATGTTTTTGAAGTTTATATAAGTAATCTTTCCAAATCTGCTGTTGCAGATTTTGCTCTCTCTTGGCGTTATGCCCCAAGATCTGCTTGCTTTCGAAGAAGCTTTAACGAAGACAAGTAGTCCCAAGGAGCAAAAGCAGCACATGAGAAGTTTATTAGTACTGGCAGCAGGAGACAAGTTAAAAGCTCTCGCGTCTCAGAAAAGCGCGAATGTCATTACAAATGTTTCAGGTCAGTGGTCTCTATTATTGTTATAATTTAGTTTTTAAGTAATGTTGATCTTGGCATACCTATAATTTTACAGCAAGGCCTCACAATTCGGGTACTGCTCGTGAAACCAATGTCGAAGAAGGAGATTCTATTGGTTTGGCTGCAATTATTTAAAGAGAATCAATCCCCTTTTGGCTGCATTTTTGAGAAGAAGAAACAGTATATTACTCGGTGGGTACTAAGGTCGAACAAAGAGATGAAAACTCTTATTGTGCTCAAAGGTTTGAGGGATCATTTGTATAGTGACCAACAAAGATTTTAACATATTTAAACTGTTTTTGATACACTAGTAATACATTTATACTCAAATCTCACTAATTTATGTTCATCTCAGAAAACCACAGCTGTCATTGTAATTTAAGTTACTGGTATATTGAGTGGGAGCATGTAGTCTTTTAATGGTCGAGTGCTTAGAGAGCTTCTTACATCAAGAATAGTTTCCTTAAACAAGTCAGTTTTGTATGAGAGTCAGCATGTTTGTCATATTTCATTTATTGAATGAATACGTTTGTTCATTCCATTTCATTTTATGAATCCTAAATCCACTGAGTTCGAGGAGAGGAACTGAACATTGCGTGGCGAAGACAAACTTCAGGGCTCACGTTACATCGATGATATGCTATGACCATCCCTATGGTATTGATACACCAGCCAACTTTGTAAAGGGTGAGTGGCACAAAATTCCTCTTTACCCATATGAAATACCCTATATCCTTTAATTTTGATGAAATACCTTCAGATGCATCAATTTTTTCTTCCATTTTTTCAATAAAACCCTTTGAAATGACAAAGATACTTTCCTCTTTAAATAAAAAGAAGAGGAAAAAAATTAAAAAATCGATTATAATCGTCATTCCAATTTTTTATTTATTTGAAACTCGTATGCACTTTTTTGATAAATTTGGGACTACAATTGTCATTGATTCTTTATTTTTGTTTTTTCTTTTCTTTTTGTTTTACTTAAAGATGACATAATTTCCCAAGATTTTATTAAGAAAATGTTATATTGAACACTAAGCCCCTGTTTGGTATACATTAAAATTTTCATTCTCATTCTTCTACTCATTTTTAACCACACATTTTTTTAATAAAATAATATTTTCCATCACATCAATAACTTTTCCTTCTTTTTCAACCACAAATTCTACATCAATCTACTATTTCAGAATACATTATTCCAAAATAATGTGGATCAAACACACCCTAAAAAGATCATCTAGGGGATTTTTTTCGCCAAAATGAAAAGGCATGGAGTCACGAGGATTTTGTGCCATTCGCCCCTTTGTAAACTAAAGGTATCAAAGGTACTCATACCCTCTCACTTGTATGCCAAACAAATTAAGGTACCTTTATCCATACTTCATACGGATTTTGACCCGAATTACCCAAGCCCCTCTGGTGTCCCGACCCAACGGGGACGCAGGGGCGGGGTTTTGCTTCCCTTAGCGAGGATGCTCCTCGCTCCCATTATCTAATTTAAAAAAATATGGTTTAAAATCAACTTAGCCTACCATAGTGAATTGTCTCAACCACTACCAACTGTAGACTATTAATCAAGTTATCTTTTGCATATGTATAATCTTCGTACATCCAAATCATCATATATAAGGAAAAATGCTCAATTTATGGTACTCTTCTTCGACTTTCAAAAACAATAGTATCAACAACAATTCCCCTTCAATCCCCAGTTAGAAGGAGAAAAAACTAATATAAAGTAACCCCATCACGCCTTTATACGGACCATAAAGGAACCTGTCATTGAAAGAAAAAATTAGGAACATCACATGGAAATTATTTGTGCCAGTTCAGCCAAATGGAAAGATATTTACTCAATGGGAAGCTATCACACTTGTAACAGGTTATTAGTGTTAATTTACTCGAGAACCAGATAAACAGAAGGAAATTTTCTTAAAAGGAGTTGGGTTTAAAGCAATTACATCCATCAAGTTCAATGATTCCAAACAAGCAAAGTCTAAATTTAACAAGGTTTAAGAGTTGTGCCACAGAAGTTAAAGGCGTTGAAAATGTGAAATATACATTTGAGAACCCAAGCTATATGTTAAAGCGCCCAAGTTTAACAAAGAACTGATATTTGAAACAAAAGCGGGTACCTGTAACCTTTCACAACAAAAAATTTATTTGTCCCCTTTCCAAGGGTTTGAGCTTTTACACGTGATAGTTCATATGTTATCGGAACCATGAGAGTTTTTTATTCACCTTCATGACCTATTCCTTCCTAGGGATTAGAAAACATTTATTTGTGTCATCACTAAGAATGTTGAAAGCAATTTCTGTGAGGCTTAGCAGAACTGGGGCAAAGAATTTAGTCGCAAATCTTCTCTCTTTACTGACGAATAAATTGAACAATGGTATCAGTTTACGAACCATATTCAGTTATCTGTAAATACCTCTTCCCCAAAATTAGCCAAGCAGGCTACACTTTAAATGCTCTTCATAGGATTCTTAAAAATCTCTAATCGGATCATTGATTTTGGGTCCAATCATATGATTGGTTAGTCCAAATCGTTTACCACTTACACTCCATGCTCACGTAATCAAAAAGTTGATGTTGTAAATGGCCCTTTGACTACGGTTGCTGGGAAGGGCACAATCACTCGTCAAAAAATGTTATTCTCACTTTCATCTTACATGTGCCTAATTTGTCGTTTCTCATTTCTGTTATAGAACTTCTAAACCATTCAACTGCATAAATATTTCCCATCTTACTGTAAGTTTCGAGAATTATGTTTAGCAAAAGATTGGTAGTGGTAAAGAAGTAGAAGTCCCCTTCATCTTAAGAGGAAGATGGTTCAGGAAATATGTTTTATTATGGATTGTTTAAGATGGTTTATTATGAGCATAATTTTTTAATTCATATTCTTTTGATCATTTAATTGGTTATTCTCGAGGAAATGCCTTTGTATCACAGAGGTAAAACGCCTCGGTACCCAATTACGCATTTTTAAACAGCAAACCTCTTGTGTGCACAGCTCTACAAAATGGAGTTATGAAGAGATAAATAGACATATCCAAGAAGTTAATTCGGGCCATAATGTTTAGCGTAACCAAACAGTATTGGGAGAAGCTATGATGAGTGCAATGTACTTCATCAGCCAAATTCCTTCAAGAGTTTAAAATTATCTACAACCTTGATACTCTCATAGTCTTGTCCTTCCCCCTATGGTATTTGAATGTGTTGCATTTCTTCACATTCATAAGCACATGATATTTTAGAAACTAGGTCTTTTAGGTGTGTCTTTCTATGTTATTCACCTACGCAAAACAGTTATATATGTTTTCATTCCATCAAATTGAATATGCTTGTTTTGTGCGATAGCATCTACTATACCAAGAATATCAAAGAACACGATTATTGAAATTGCTCATGATACCCTTTTTTAGCTTCTAGGGT